GTTTTGACACTTGCAACCAAAAAGAGTTCTGACAAATGCACAGGGTCACAGGACATTCTGAATCATGGACTTGGAGCCCCAAAGTTCAAAGAGGCCTCAAAAGGTCATCCAGGCCAGCGGCTTTTTAAAAAAAGAAAAAAAATTCTTCTATTTTAAATAGCTAAATCTTCAAGTCTTCAGGAACCCAAATATATAAAACAGACAAAAGAGGAAGTGCTGGGGTAGCTGTGAGAGCAGAGACCCGGAGCCCTGCCCACCACCTCCTCTGTATCCAGCTGAAAGCTACTCATCTGGTCCAACTTCCTACATGGGGAGTCACTTTGACCACATTTTTGACACCTGGTCACCTAGCCTCAGCTTGAACACATCCACACGAGCAGCTGAGTAAGCCTTGAGGCAGTCCCCTTCCTTTTTTTTGACTTCTCTGATAGCAAGACAGCTCTTCCTCTGCCTCCTGGTGGCATTCGCCCATGGGTCTTGGTCCTTGGGGGTGAAACCGAGTGAATTAAAAGCCCCTTTCCTATGGCAGCCCTTCCTGATGACAATGATGATGTCCCACTTAGCTCCCAGCTTACACATCCTCACTTCCTTCTGACTGTTCCTCATGGGACATCATGTCCAGCTGGTGAGATGCCCAAAATAGGCACACTGCTGTTCAAGGTGTGATTTCAGGAGGGACATAAAGACGGAAGGCTTAGAGTTAGAGAACATGCTTATTTTAAAACACACACAGTACCACATGCACACACCCCAGAGGTTGACTATAGCCCTTTCACTTCCTGTGTGCAGCATTTCCCCTGTGCCAGGCACTGTGCTCAGGACTGTCCACTGCTGAGAACCAGCTTGGTCAGGAGACCCCTACCCAGGCAGGCTGAAGGTATTGAGAGGCAGATGCCCAGATAGCCCAACAGAGTGGGTCTACCCTGGGGAGCAACAGCCTGGGCTTGCAGCTCTCCAGGGCTGAAGGCCCTGAGCAGAGATTCATCCACGTATTTATTTGCTCTTTGACAGGTGATTCTTACTAATACACAGATGTTTTACATATACACATAACTCAGGAATATACCAAGTAGGCAGCTGTCACTTGCCTACTGCTAATGACGAACTACAAGGAGCCATGGGCGCAGGGTGAACTTATTGTTCCTCAGCAGTCCACTCCACTTGTTCTTTAGCCTTCACAACATACCCATGACATTCGGTGCCATTTTTATCCCCATTTAAAATATGATGCCTGGAGGAGTTCAACTTACTGGCTCAAGAACAAGTACTGACATGTGGTGGGAGTGGGATTTGAACTCAGGACTCACCTGACTCTAAAGCTGGGGTGGCTGAGTATATTTCCATTGGACCACATGCCTCTCTTTGCTACTAACCACCTAGCCTGGGAAGATGATAAAGTGGAGCCCAGAAAGGATATGATCAATGCAGATAACTTTTATATCACTGTGGTCAGGACACAAGATGGGCACCTCCTTTGTATGTGAGCCTTGGAAACACTTATTTTAAAACATAACACAGTCATTGCGGGTTAGAGATGATTTAATCTGTTATTTGAGTGCGCAATCGAGGAAGACGTGGGTCTTTGGGGTTCAAATGAGGAGGCATGACTGCCTGGTGACCAAGTGGATTGCAGTGAGCCAGTTTCCCTTTTCTCTTGTCTGTAGGGACTCTTTAATCTCTTTTCCACCCAATCCCCACTTCTGGGTGCCATTCTTCCCTAGAAGGAGAATCTGGGGACCAAAAGCATGAAGGAACTGGGCTTGACCACCTTGAAGCCCATGATGTTCTCAGAAGGAAGCCTGGCCCCAGGTCTCTGCCTCCTACCCTCAGGGGCACATCCATGTTCCACGAGTATGTCTGATGATTTCTTAAAACGTTCCAAGTGTGAATTGTAATAGTAGTGATAGCAATCATATTCTTGGTGCCTTTTATTGAGCAGTTGCTACACACAGGCTTATACAACATTTCATTCAACCCTCACAACCTGCCTCCCTTGTGAGTGTTACTATTAGCCCATTTTCCAGGCATATTCATTGAGCTCAGGGGAAACTGGGTAATGTATGGAGATTTTTTGCCCAAACTCACCCACTTATAAATAGCATGGCTGATATCGGTACTTTGGCAATTTGACCTAGAGCCCAGCTATCTTGACATATTAAGTAAGAAAACAGATTTCAAAATAATACAGGATACTACAGCAAGGAAAAGGAACAAACCACGCGCGGTGAGACACATGACTCTCACCATAGTTACACGAGGGAAAGAAGCTCCATAAAAGTGTACAGATTATATGATTGCATATACATGATATATTCAATTTACAAAATTCTAGAAAACATCAACAAAATTCTAGAAAATGCAACAGAAAACACATTGGTGGTTACCAGGGGACTGAGAGGGCCAGAAATGAGGCGTCAAAAAAGGCATGAAGAAACTTTGTGTGTGTGTGTGTGGCTGGGTCTCATTCTCTCCCAGGCCGGAGTGTAATGGAGCTATCATGGCTCACTGCAGCCTCGACCTCCTGGGCTCAGGAGATCCTCCCACCTCTGCCTTCGGAGTAGCTGGAGCTACAGGCATGCACAACTATGCCTGGCTAATTTTTGTATTTTTTGTAGAGAGGGTGTCTCGCTGTATTGCCCAGGCTGGTCTTGAACTCCTGGGCTCAAGCAATTCTTTCCCCTCCACCTCCCAAAGTGCTGGGATTACAGGCATGCGCCACTGTCCCCAGCCCAGCATGAATGGATTTTGAGGTTGACGGAATTCTTCGTTCTTTGATTGTGGTGATGGTTTCCCAGGTGTATGCAAATGTCAAAACTCATCAAATTGTAGACTTTAAATGCATGTCATTTGTTGTATGTCAATTATATCTCAATAAGGCTTTAAAAACACTATCATGAATCATTCTGGTTTAGGTTTTTAAAAATCATCTTTAATTTTTTTTTTAGTGGGGCTCAAACTGGTTTAGTTTCTAAGGCAAATTGTATAGATACACATATATACATGCATTTATACATATTACAGGTAATACACATATAAAGATATATATGATAAATATTAATGTATAATTAAAACATAAATTATATATAAAATATATGTTATATATTTATAAATATGTCATATTTATATATGACAACATGACTCGCAAGGCTGCTATGTGGTCTAGTCCCTGACCCCTCCCCAGTGTGAAGTTACATATGATAAATATTAATGTATAATTAAAACATATGAATTATATATACAATATATGTTATATATTTATATATGACAGCATGACTCACAAGGCCGCTGTGTGGTCTAGTCCCTGACCCCTCCCCAGTGTCATTTCTCTCTGCTGCCCATCCCACCCTTCAAGCCGGACCACAGGGTACTTACTTTCATTTCCTCCATCGTTTCATGCACGCTCTGCTTCCTGGCCTTCTCATTGCTATTTATTTCATTTGCCTGGAACACTCTCCCAACCTTCCCTGATGCTTCAGGCCTCAGCTAAGGTGTCCTTTCCTCCTTCAGCCCAAAGTGCTTCCCCTTTGGCATCCAGTATTGTAATTGTTTAATACCTTTTTTCTGTTGCTGCCCTGTATGTTTCATGAGGGCAAGATACCTTGCGTCTTTTGCTCATGGAGGTTTTCCAAATACGTAGCACATAGTAGGTATTCACTAGAGATACTTCTAATGAAAGACCAAAATGATTTTTTTTCGATATAGAGTCTTGCTCTGTTGCCTAGGTTGGAGTGCAGTGGTGCGATCTCGGCTCACTGCAACCTCCGCCTCCCTGGTTCAAGTGATTCTCCATCTCAGCCTCCCAAGTAGATGAATTGAATATAAACTGCTAACCAGTACCTTCCATTTATCTGGAGCTCTCCATTTTACAAAGCATTTCTCATTTAATACCCCAATGATGCCTCACAGGAACCCTGTGGTGAAGGTGACACAGATGTCATTTTTACCCATTTTAAAAGGAAGCTGGGGCCCAGGGAAGCTAAATGACTTCACCCAAATGGTAGATAAGGTGAACGATGTATCAGGAGCTGACCCTGAGTAATGGCTCACAGCTCTTTACCAAGTGGGGTCTTGCCTGCTCTTCGAAACATAACAATGACTGAAGGCCCCTACCTACCTCCTTAGCTAAGTCCAAGTGTGTCTAAAAGTTCCTGGGACTTGGTGTTCTTTCAGTCACCAGGCCTGTCCTGTTCCCACCATTTTATCTCCATTGCACCTCATCTCAGTCAGCTGATAACCTTTTTCTTTAATTTTTAATCTTTATTATTATTATTATTTTTTGAGACAGGGTCTCACTCTGTCATGCAGGCTGGAGTGCAGTAGCATGATCACAGCTTACTGCCTCGGCCTCCTGGACTCAAGTGATCCTCCCACCTCAGCCTCCAGAGGAGTTAGGACTACAGGCACGTGACACTACACCCAGACAATTTTTTTTTTTTTAGTTTTTTGTAGAGGCAGGGTCTTGCTATGTTTGCCTGGGCTGGTGTCAAACTCCCAGGATAAAGCGATCCTCCTGCCTCAGCCTCCTGGAGTGCCAGGATTACAGGCGTGAGCCACCATGCCCAGCCTGCTTTCTTCTTTTTTTTTTTTTTTCTCCCTAACAGAGACATGGTCTCTATTAGAAAGAAGGAAAAGAGAAAGAAAGAGAGAAAAGAAAGAAAGAAAGAAAGAAAAGGAAGGAAGGAAAAGAAAGAGAAAGAAAGGAAAGAAAAGAAAGGAAAGAGAAAGAAAGAAAGGTAGGAAGGAAAGAAAGAAAGGGAGGGAAGGAAAGAAGGAAGGAAGGAGGGAGGGAGGGAGGGAAAAAAGGAAGGAAGGAGAGAAGGAAGGAGGGAAGGAAGGAAATAAAAAGCGACAGATGGGATCTCCCAAGCTGGTTGTCTTGAACTCGGGCTCAAGCAATCCACCCATACACTTTGGCCTTCCAGAGTGCTTGGATTATAGACATGAGCCACTGTGCCCAGCCTGATTTTCTTTCTGACATTTAAAAACAAAACAAACAAACAAACAGGATACATTTTACATATAATCCTGGTTTCATGGTTCTCTCAAAAAATGGGAAGAGTCAACAACTCTATCTTCAATCAAACACAGCGGCAATAAGTTAAAGTTGAATCGTTGAGTCACGGCTGCCCGCTTTGGCCAGACAGGATAGCCCGGCCCTCTTCTCCAGAATCCACAGCCTCTCTTGTTTGTGTGACCACTCTGGCTCCTGGAGGCTGCTGAGTTTGTTCTCCCTTGTTTGGCAATGTAACCCAAAAAGCAGAGGTTTTACAATGTCAGTCTTCTTTCTTCCTTTCCGTAAGTGGAAAGACCCAGTATAGAGATTCGTTTTTCCACTGATGTCAATTATACTACCACCCCAATTTAGATTGCAGAAGCAGTTACAAAGGGTTTGGTTTTAAATATATTTTCCACCTCACTGCAAAAATGTTATATGGCATATTTAGAAATCTTCCCCCCACACCCAGTAAAGGTTTTGTTTGTTTGTTTGCTTTTTAATAACAGCTGAAATTCCCACCATTCAACTATCTACCATGCTTTGAGATTTGGGGATGATTCTAGCCGATTCCAGAATTATAGCTGAATAAGCATAATACCTATCTTCTGAGTAACTTTCAGCAATGCAGCCCTTAGCATATCTTACTAAATGCTTATTAAAAGAATCGCTTTTTAGGTTTACTGTTTGAAACTCAATGCATATTTTCAAAGGCAGCTCCAATTTCTCTTAAGGCCTGACACCATTTTTTTCTACCTCTCCGACTTCGAAAATTAGCTGATCCTAAATTTCCTTCGGTGATTCTTAGTCCTAGCAGAGAGGAATTGGTCCAGTTGCATACATTTTCCCCCTCATTGCTGACATTGGACAGCCATCTGATTTGTTTTCACCTGAGAAGTCCCAGGCAAGCACCATCTCAAAGAACAGGGCAAAGTCTAGAGCAAGCGTTCTCCAGGTGTGACTTCAGACCAGCAGCATCAGCATCATTTGACAACTTGTTAGAAATGCAGCCTTGGCCCTTCCTCAGACCTATTGAATACAAATCTGCACCTTCACAGGATCCCCAGTTGATTCATAAGCACATCCAAAGTAAAACAAGGTTGACCAGGTATGGTGACTCACATCTGTAATCCCAGAACTGCGGGGAGGCTGAGGTGGGAGGAATGCTTGAGTCCAGGAGTTCAAGACCTGCCTGGGCAACATAGCAACACCTGGTCTTTATTGAAAGAAAAAAGAAAAGAAAGAAAGGAGGGAAAGAAAGAGAGAAAGAAAAGAGAGAAAGGAAAGGAAAGAAAGAGAGACACAGAAAGAAAGAGAGAGGAAGGAAGGAAGAAAGGAAAGAAAGGAAAGGAACGAAAGGAAGGGAAGGAAGGAGAGAATGAGAGAGAAAGAAAGAGGGAGGGAAGGAAATAAAAAAGGGACAGCCGGGTACAGTGGCTCACACCTGTAATTCCAGCACTTTGGGAGGCCGAGGCGGACAGATGCCCTGAGGTCAGGAGTTTGAGACCAGCCTGGCCAACATGGTGAAATCTCGCAGTGAGCCAAAATCATGTCACTGCACTCTAGCCTGGGCGACAGAGCGAGACTGTCCAAACAACAACAACAAAAATTTTTAATTATTTGTAGTTCAATTATTTTAAAATTATTTTGTAGTTATTTTAAAATTATTTGTAATTCCATTTTTAAATTATTTGTAGTTTATTTAAAAATCATAAACCCATTATATATTAACATATGTTTTATGAAAATAGGTGTATTTTCTAAAATCAACCAAAAAAGTGAGTGAGAAGAATGGCATGGTTTCAATCTTTGCAAATCTCTTTAGTGTCTTCCTTAATGGAAAACAGCTGGCTTCTCATATTTGCTTCTGCAGTCTGTCTATTGCGGCGTCACATGTCATGTGGTCTTTGGAAAACTCCACCGTGCCCATGGGAGAGAAAGAGGGAAAAAGGCAACTATTCTCTTAGTATTCTTATGAAACTAGTGTTGACTTCACATACTCCCTGAAAGTCTTGGGGTCCGGAACCACTGCTGGGATGCAGTGATGGAGAGAGGCCTCACAGGAGGCAAGGCCTCACAGAGGAGGAGCCAAGACTTCTGGCTTTAAAAAACATGGAGATTGCTGCCAGGCATGGAGGTTCACGCTTGTAATCCCAGCACTTTGGGAGGCCAAGGCGGGCAGATCCCCTGAGGTCAGGAGTTCAAGGTCAGTCTGGCCAACATGGTGAAACCCCGTCTCTACTAAAAACACAAAAATTAGTTGGCCACCCGGGCATAGTGGCCAACGCCTGTAGTCCCAGCTACTCGGGAGGCTGAGGCAGGAGAATCGCTTGAACCTGGGGGGTGGCGGTTGCAGGGAGCCGCGATCGCACCACTGCACTCCAGGCTGTCTACAGAGCAAGACTCAGTCTCAAAACAAAAAACAAAAAAAGCATGGAGATTGTACAGTGAGCTTCATTGCGAATTCTGATCCTGCCTTGGTCTTAGAATAGGTGCGGGACTATGGACAGATACCCTGCTCTCTCTCAACCTCAGCTTCCCGGTGTGCTTTCTGGAAAGGGTGACCTCTAACATTCCAGGCCGCTCCCCGACCCCCAGCCCTCCCCAAGCCTCCCGGAGGTCCCAGCAGGGATTTCAGAGCAACTCTTCCGTTTGCCAGCAGAAGGCGATGGAGACCAGCCTCAGCTGGACCACTTCCACCCCAGAGGCCCTTCACCGCTCCCCACCCAGACACAAGGTTCCCTAGTGATCCGGACGTTTTCCTCGGCACCGCCGGCACCAGGCATCTCAGGCCACCCAGGCCGTCCCCAGGGAGCGGCTGGAGGCCCCGAGAGCCCTTCCTAGTGACCCGGACACGCGGCCAGGTTGAGATGCTGGGATTCTCCCACACCCAGTCTGGGAGGAGCCGGGGAGAAGAACGGGTTTGGGCAAAGACACTTGAGCCCCTCCCCTCACACCCCGCGCTGGGCCTTTCGGTGGGAAACCACCCAGGAGCTGCTGACTTCTCACAGGGAAAGCCGGGCGGGGGTGGCCGGAAGGGAGCAAGACGGAGAGAGCGCCGCGCCAGCTCCCCGGGGACAGCCTGCCTGCAGGCACGAGGCTGCGCTTGCATCAGCGCCTGCCAGGGCAGGGGCAGGGACCGCGGCCACCGGCGACGTCAGTCGCTTTCCCAGAAGAATTCCACTTCCTGCGGCTGGGGGCCCGGCTGTGAGGGGGCGGTGGGGGGAGGGTGGTTTCGCAGGATGACACGACTCATTTGCTGCATCACCTCAATCACACATTCTGTTGTCTAGGAGACCAAGAGCATCCTGGCCGCCTCAGTGAGACTAACCCGCCCCCGGGAAGTGACCCGGGGCACGGCCCACTCAGGAAACCCCCGGCTCCAGGGTGCAGGTCCCAGGAGACGGGGCCACCGCGGTTCCTGGATTCTGCCCTGGGGGCACCCTGTGGCCCACCTTCCATATTGTGCATGATCGTCAAGTTTTCAAAGCACACTTGCCCGAGGGTGTTATAAACAAGCCAGAGAAAATTAAAGCTCCAGACTTAAGACAGCACGTGGCTGGGAGAATTGACTTTTCAAGCCTCTGTGATTTGGTTTGGTTTGCTTGGGTAGGGTTGGGTTTTTTCTTACCTTGCCATAGATCAGCATCTCATGAACCTCTTAAGAGTCAGTGGTTTCATCCACTGTCAGTGAAGCAATGCTCGTTTTATTTTTTGTTTGTGGTTGTTTGAGACAGAGTCTCGATTTGTCACTCAAGCTGGAGTGCAGTGTCTCGATCTCCGCTCACTGCAGTCTCTGCCTCCCTGGTTCAATCCATTCTCCTGCCTCCGCCTCCCCAGTAGCTGGTATTACAGGTGCATACCACCATGATCGGCTACGTTTTTTTTTGTTGTTGTTGTTTTGTTTTTTTGTATTTTTAGTAGAGACAAGGTTTCACCATGTTGGCCAGGCAGGTCTCGAACACCTGACCTCAAGTGATCTGCCCGCCTCGGCCTCCCAAGGTGCTGAGATTACAGGCACGAACCACCGCCCCCAGCTGAAATGTTTGTTTTAACTAACTTTGGCAAGCATTTCCTGAGTAGCCAGACTGTGCCAGGTGAAGAGAGAGAAGGGTGATAACTTGCTAGTCAGCATGTATTGAGCCTTGCAAAGCTGCACAGGCATGACCTTGTGGCTTCAACACAACCTTATGGAGTAGACGTTATCCCCATTTTACAGAGTAGAATACTCAGGTAATGTGAGACAAGCTGGGAAGTAAAATCAAATCTGAGTCCTAAACTAGAATGCTTTACCATTAACAGGCAGCCTCGAAAAACATCAATTAACATGGTAGACAGGGCCCTTTTTCTCTGAAATTGATGCATTTTTACTGCACCACCAAGACCATGCATTTAATCTTTAATGATGTGTTAATAATGTGAGATGAGGATAAAAATAATCCCAAATAAGAAACATGTAATAACATCAATGCAAGTAGCATTCGTGGCCTGCTGTATGCTAAACACTGTTCTAAGCCCACAACCGTTATTACCTCATTTAATACAACAACTCTGTGAGGTCAGTTCTATCCCTTTGGTTTCTACTTTGCAGCTGAAGAGACTGAGGCACTGAGGTAAAGTAACTTATCCATGTCCCAAAGCTAGTAAATTAATGCTTAGTAATTAATGGAATAGTGTCCCAGTCCATGGTAAGCGCTTAATACACTTGTACTCTGCTTTGGAAAGAACAGAGAGACTGCAGTGTATACAAACATCCCAGGAAAATCTCTTTCATTTGGACCATTTCCGTCTAGATTTTATTATAATTTGAATTAGGGTAGTGTTCTTTTTTTTCTGCATGGGGGGGAAAAGCTAAACAAATAGTGCAAGCAAAGTAAAAACATTTTTTCTGTTTTTACTTTGGGGCATTTTCGAATTTAGACAGGATAGGGTGCATTCAGGGTAGTATGGCCGTAGACACATTTTAGAATTTATAAAGTACTTTCCTTTTTTTTTTTTTTTTTTTTTTTTCTTTTTTTGATGGAGTTTTGTTCTTGTTGCCCAGGCTGGAATGCAATGGCGCAATCTCAGCTCACAGCAACCTTCGCCTCCCAGGTTCAAGTGATTTTCCTGCCTCAGCCTCCTGAGTAGCTGGGATTACAGGTATGCACCACACCTGGCTAATTTTGTATTTTTAGTAGAGATGGGGTTTCTCCCTGTTGGTCAGGCTGGTCTCGAACTCCTGACCTGAAGTGATCCGCCCACCTCAGCCTCCCAAAGTGCTGGGATTACCATGCCCAGCAAGAATTTATAAAGTACTTTTCTACCAGGAGTTAACTTTATCTTCACAATACCCCTGAGAAGTAGTTAGAACTGGTCATCTTAGTCCCAATCTACTAGTGAACTCTGAGAAACTTCCTAAAGAAGAATTTCTAACTACTAAAGAGAACAAATGATCTTCAGAGACTCAAAAGTAAACTGTCCACAATAGCTAAGAGGTGAAAACAGCAAATGAATGGATAAATGAAATGTAGTATGTACATGCAGTGAAATATTATTTAGCCTTGAAAAGGAATGAAATTCTTGTAAGTGCTACAGTATGGATGAACCTTAAAGACGTGATGCTAAGTAAAATGAGTCAGACACAAAAGGACAGTATTGTATGATTCCACTTATATGGTATGTCTAGAATAGACATATTCATAGATACGGAAGTAGAGTAGAGGTACCAGGGGCTGCAGGGAGGGAGGAATGGGGAGTTCTTGTTTGATTAGAATTCAATGGACAATTTAATTGAAGATGAATTGAAGGGATGATGAACAAGCTCTAGGAATGGGTAGTGATGGTTGCACAACATTGAGAATGTACTTAATGCCTCTGAATTATGCACTTAAAAATGGTTAAAAGGCTGGTTAAAAGGTGGCTCATGGCCGGGCGCGGTGGCTCAAGCCTGTAATACTAGCACTTTGGGAGGCCGAGGCAGGTGGATCACGAGGTCAAGAGATCGAGACCATCCTGGTCAACATGGTGAAACCCCGTCTCTACTAAAAATACAAAAAATTAGCTGGGCATGGTGGCGCGTGCCTGTAATTCCAGCTACTCAGGAGGCTGAGGCAGGAGAATTGCCTGAACCCAGGAGGCGGAGGTTGCGGTGAGCCGAGATCGCGCCATTGCACTCCAGTCTGGGTAACAAGAGTGAAACTCCGTCTCAAAAAAAAAAAAAAAAAAAAAAAAGGTGGCTCATGCCATAATCCCAGGATTTGGGGAGGCTAAGGTGGACAGATCGCTTGAGCCCAGGAGTTCAGGACCAGCCTGAACAGCATAGTGAAACCCCATCTCTACAAAAAGTTTAAAAAATTAGCTGGGTGTGGTGGCACATGCCTGTAGTCCCAGGTTCGTGCGAGGCTGAGCTGGGAAGATTGATTGAGCCCCAGAGGGTGAGGCTGCAATAAACGATGATCCCACCACTGCACTCTAGCTTGTGTAACAGACAGGAAATCCTGTCTCCAAAAAAAAAAAGGGGTTAAAATGGTAAATTTTGTGTTATGCATACTACAATGAAAAACTTTAAGGAAAAAAAAGTAACCCACATAGCAATCCACCATTCTTATCCAACTCTTTCCTCAAAAGGAGACTCCTGGGTGCTTATTAAAAGCAGAAGCAGCCTTAACCCAGGCATGCACTTGAAAGCAAGGAAACAGCATGCCTTTAAAAAATAGCTCACGATCGTGTGTTTTCACTAAACACAGGAGGCTGGTATTCCCCTCAGGTATTCCAAGTGAGCAAGATATGGCTGGTAGAGGGGAGAACTGGGAGGTGAGTCACTGGTTTGGCAGGTGACGTCACCATGAGGTGACCGTCTGCGTGGCATGCCTCCCACCTCCCACGTCTCCCATTCTCTCCACTCAGGGGCGGCCAGGTCACCAGCTGGCTTAGCTGGAAGTCTGTCTGTTCTGGTGTGATGTTTAGTGGGAAACATTCCTCTTTATGACTCAGTGACTCAACATCCCAACAGATGGGTTCACGAAGGCTAAAACCAACTCTGAGGTTGAAACCTGGATGGCCAAGGAGGAGATGAAAGACATACACCCTTGGGAAGGGAGAGAAGAGAGCTTGTTTTCTATTTGTTGGAATGCTAAATATCTAAGAAGTAATGGAATGATTTAGGATAATAATGATTATCCTAAGACAACTCAGGAGACGGGCACACGGAAGGGGACAGTAAATGTTTATTGAATGAAATATTCATTGATTATTATTTTGGAGGTATTCAATTGCAACAATCCCAAACTATGAGTAAAAAACATAGATTCTCAGCTGGGCACAGTGGCTCATGCCTGTAATCCCAGCACTTTAAGAGGCCACGCTGGCTGGATCACTTGAAGTCAAGAGTTTGAGACCACCCTGACAAACATGGTAAAACCCTGTCTCTACTAAAATTATGAAATTAGCCAGGCATGATGGCACATGCCTGTAATCCCAGATACTCAGGAGGCTGAGGCAGGAGAATCACTTGAACCTGGGAGACAGAGGTTGCTGTGAACCAAGATTGTGCCACTGCACTCCAGCCTGGGTTCCATCTCAAAGAAAAAAGAAAAACATATTCCTCCTTCTGTCTCACCACCTCTAGTTTTCTCCAAGGGGCGCCAGAAATGGAGCTTGATATATTTTTGTGGAATTGACACAGGTTTGACATGGACAACTATGATATTGACACAAAGAATCATGATGTTTATGCAGGTAATGAGGTCATTAATAAGCAGTGATGTGAAGGGACTGTCTTGGACATGTTTGCACACTCATTCAGCAATTGTTAGCAGAGGTACCATATCAATATAAGATAAAAGAAAGTGAGAAAGAGAAGAAGTATTTGTTTTATTCTTTTTTCTCTTTAGGCTCTATACTGTTGAGTCAATCTGGGATGGTTTATTTTCTTATTTTATTTTTTTCAATCTGGGATGGTTTAAGGTATGTGAGCCTTGGCATCAGACAAGCCTCAAATTAGTCAGTGAGGACTCTTAGTTGCAAGACAGAAACTGGATTCAAATCAGCTACAGGAAGAAAAAAAACCAGTAGATGGCTTCAGGCATAGCTGTTTCCAGGTGCTGAAATGCTAGTGTTAGAGATTTGTTGTTTTTTTAATCTTTCAGCTCTGCCTGCCCATAGGATGAAAAAGAATTG